GGGGGGGGGGAGTTTTTTTTTTTTTTTTTTTTGAATTAGCCATTATACCCTCAAAATAGTGTGTCGTGTGCGAGGCACTTGACACTTTGTCAGGCAAATTGTACCGAATTTGCAGGGGGAACCCAATGCTACAAATTTGGAGACTGGTGACCAAATGCCAAAATAAATATTGAAAATTGGGAGTCAAATGCCAAGAGAAGTGGAATAGAGATTCAATTGCTCATTTGAGTATAGAATGAGGATTGAATGTGCTGAATTTGCTTATATACATGCTAGGTGTCATTCTTAAACTGAAGGACTCTATAGAAATATCACGGAATTATTCTCAAGAAAAGGTCTAGAAAGAGTTTCTTATGAGTGGAAAGAGTCGTTACTTCCTGACCTCCTGTGGCCAAATAGTCATGAACTTGTTCAATGTACAGAGTAGAGAAGGTGAGAGAGTCTGAGATGCGGAGACAAATCAAGCTAACAAAGTTTAGCATGCTTTTGGTGTCCAAGGGTTTTGAATTTGAATTAAGTACCCTGAAATCAAGTTTTACGAAAGGAACTGTGGATGTATCCAAATGGGTTTTTCAGTTAAATTAAGTGACTCAGAAATGAAATTTGGATGTTAAACATGAGCTTTAGATTTGTGGGACTAAGTTTAGACGTCCGGAAGGGAGTTGTGGATGTAAACCCTAGAGGAGTGCCCCCTGTGTTTTGATCAATAAATCTTCAGTTATACTGAAAGACATCAATGCACCCATAAATTGTTGTGTCATCCTTTTTTATCCAGCGTCTAGCCTTGAACAACTTATATGTGGTCACACTTAATGCTTGTTTGAGCTCCATTTTTCCGATAACGCATTTTTTCAAAACTCATTTTCAACCACACGTCCTTCCATAAAATAATGTTTGTACGTAAATCCATTTTTTTTCTTATTTTTGATATTAATTAGCCCAAACAGGGGCTTAATTGTTAATTGCCACATCTCTTCTCATGGCACACTTAAATGTGTGTTTGATAGGAAGGATATTTAACATTGGATAGAATGGGAAAAAAAGTTAAAATCTTGATCGTTATATTGTCTACTTATGTCCATTGTCCACATCAGAGTACTAAACTTGCATTTAATGTATATGTATTCACACTACCTAAAGATCATCATGGATTGTCAAAGATATAAGATACACCTCATGGTAGGTGATTTTGAGGAAGACAACAAAAAATATGCATTGCATAGAGTTCAAGATTATTTTGAACTTCAGTTCATGTTTGTAATTGTAAAAATCTTCTGCATAAGCATAAACTAAACCACAGCATTGTCCGTCCTGTTGTCAGCGTCTTTGCCAAGCAAACGACTTTATCATTTCTTCCGTTCAGGTTTAAGAATGAATACAGACTGCAAGTGAAACCGAGGCTACATACTGTATTTGCCTCAAACACTAATGCTTCGGAGGGATCAAATGAAACTAAAAGAGCTGATGCTGCCCAAGGTCCTCCCTTCCTTACCATTGTGGCTGGTTTTTTAGTCTTCGCATTCATATGTTGGATCATTGGATCCATAATGATGTGGATTGTTGGCTTAATTGTCCATCCACCTCCATTAAAATGAGTTTGATTTTGCATTGTATTTGTGCATTAAGCCAACAGATTGTGATCAATGACGGAGACGAGCATTTTTGTTATCACTGTTAATCCAATTTTATTACTCAATGCTAGTGTTAATCGATGCTTTACTTTTGCCTACAAAGTCTAGATTATAAGATGGAATGGAAATACTGCCTAGGAGATCCCGCTTTCTGCTGGTGCAGGATCCTTTACAGTGGCCATATTTTTACACGCAAAGTAAATTTTACAAAAAAAATGTTCAATGAAAACAAGGCAGCATCCTATTATTTTTTACCTTTCAATTTCAGGAAATAGTCTTGATAATTTCAGGGAAAGGAAGAATGGATTTTAGTAACTCAAGCTCGGGCTGTAAGCAAAAATCGTAAAACAGAAAAATCGAACCGAAACTGCATTTTAGAAACCGTCGGTTTGGTGCCACGTGGACCCGGTCAACGAAATGGTTTTGAACCAAACCAAACCGGTCAAAATAGTTTGGTTTAGGTTTGAGAATTTTAATTGCGGTTTAAAATCAAACCGGACTGGCAAAAAAAATATAAAAATAAAAAAATAAAAAATGAAATTTTTTGAAAATTCATCCAAATATGTAAAATTCAATAGTTTTGTCATTTGTGTGTATTTTTGTCAATTTCTAATTTTCGAATACATATATATTATTATTATTTAATAATCTCAAAATTAAGATAATCTACCAAAAGCCCATTTTCTCTTCAGAATTCAGATAAACTCCAGCCGACACCCGACACAGTCTTGAGCCACCGACGCCACACACACTTTTTCTTCAAATTTTTTACCCCTCTTTAAAGTTGAATTGTAGTCCATTACACCAAATCGGAGACAAAGAGATCATAGGCCTTTGGTGCTAATATTTATTACGAATAAAATTTCAAATCAATAATTTTTTAGGCAAACTGAGGTAAGCTTCGTAACATACAAACTTGAGCTTGTGTAATAGTTATGTTTAGATATTATAAGCAACTACTTTATTATTGTGGTTGGTTATTATTTGTTTAATCAGTAACATTTTTTCAGATATGATGATCACGAAATCTTGTAGGATATTACTATGTTTTTGGACCTTATATTTTGTTTAGTAGACTTGTATTGTAGCGTTATCATAAAGTAATTAGCATAAAAAAGGTGAACAAAAATGAAAAAAACTATGTTTTAGTTTATTGTAATTTCACTTTGATTTAGTACATATATTTAGCTCCTGTTCGAGCCATATTTTTCATGTTATCATAATGAGAAAATTGACCGTTGGAGAGGAAGCTGAGTCTCACGCATAAAACAATAGATCAACAAATACAGTTGGACTTGTGCGATAATAGTCTAAATGTTCATTTTTTTGTCCCAAAAATTTGGTTCAAACAAAAGCTTAGATTGTTTTAGATTTATAGCTAATAAGATATAAATATATATTGAATTCAATGAATTAATGTCATAAAAGTAGACAGACAAAAAAATATACGACGAAATCGAAGGTTTAAAACTGGACCAAACCGTTAGGTTTAGGTTTGAGTTTTTTTTTCAAACCGTTCAAAATGGTTTGGTTTGGATTTGAATTTTTCTCAAATCGGTTTAAACGGTTTGATTTGAAAATTTGTCAAAAACCGATTTTTACCGGACCGCTTACACCCCTAGCACAAGCACACATCTAATTTTCAAATTGAAGCATGTATTCCAGTTACACTATAAGATGAATTCTTACATGAATTGCCAAATGCATATCCTACTGCCGTTTGGTGGGCTATACTAAAAGAAATGCATCTATTGACGTTCGCAAAGAAATCTCATTATATTTATAAATAGAGGAACTACTCAGAATCTTTACCCTTGGCTTCATGGTTATCTTCTCCAACAGTCGCTGTAAAATCACGCCTGTCATCAGAAGTGGCAGTAATAACTGGCATCCATACATCAGCTGTACTACTTAAGAGCGACTGGACCTGCGGGTCTGCAGCCATTGCGGAGGATATCATCTCATCTACGTTGTCCAACTTTGCTGATAATTTATCCAACTCATTTGCTATCTCCATCTAATTAGACGTAGACATTGCAACAAAAAAATAGTTATGCAAGAAACTATAGTTCGCAAACATAAACTTGCAGGTGCAAAGACAGAGAATGCTAATAGAGGATTAGTCCGAGCGGAACAATGTTAAAGTAGTAAAGAAGAAATAAATTTTGCCCATTACACGATCCAATATTATGTAATGCTACACGCCAAACATGCCTTGCCTATTACACGTTTTTTCTTGTGAGTATTGAACACCAAACATGCCTCAAAAGAATCCTAAAATGGCTGAATTGAGCCTTGGATTACCTCATTGAGATTTCGAGCAGATTTGGACGGAAC